GAATCACAGCGGAATCTGACTTGCTGGAAAAGATCATCACATGTGACGAGACGTGGATTTTCCAGTACGATCCTGAAACAAAGAGACAATCGATGCACTGGAAAACTCCCACGTCACCGAGAATGAAGAAGGCAAGACAGAGCAAGTCGAAGGTGAAGGCAATGCTGATTGTGTTCTTCGATATCAATGGCGTGGTCATGGTTGAATGGGTGCCACAGGGTCAGACAGTTAATCAGCAGTATTACCTTCAGGTTCTGGCCAAGCTGAGAGAACGAGTGAGGAAGAAGAGGCCCGAGTTGTGGAAGAACAACGCGCGGATTCTCCATCAGGACGATGCTCCCGCACACAATGCGCTGTCGGTAAAGCAGTTTCTGGCCGATAAGAAGATCCCAGTGCTGGACCACCCACCTTATTCGCTGGATTTATCTCCGTGCGACTTTTACCTGTTTCCTAAGGTAAAATCCGCATTGAAGGGGACCCATTTCCAAACTGTGGACGAGGTCAAGGATAAAACGGCAACGCTACTGAAGGGGTTGACACATGATGACCTGCAGCATTGTTTCCAACAATGGAAAATTCGTCTCCAATGATGTATAGATAGGGGAGGGGAGTATGTTGAAGGGGATACCAATTAAGTTGTAATATTATAATAATAAACACACTTTTTGCTACCAGTCTCGTTATTTAATAGCCACACCTCGTATACACGTAAATATGCATATTTTGAATTTAAAAAAGTAAAAATATGCATTTTTATGCGTTTATAAAAATTTCAGAAATCGCATTCTCTACTAATAAGACACGATCCTATCTTGGTTTTATGCTCCTAGGAGGCTGCAGAAATAATATGCATTTGCATGAAAATCCGCTACCAAGTAATGACCAATGGGCCGCAACTGCGAATCCCTTCGTTCTGTTTTTGAGCGCTCTCTTGTGGCCTAGCCTTTCGAATGACGGCCGATGGTGTCTCTAGTATAATCCTCTTCACACTCGGCTCACCGATGCATTAATGGCTGGGTGCCATAGAAAAAGCGGACATTTATGGAGTGGCCCACACATACGTCACGTTGATGCCATGCTTCCACGTGCAGACAGTCCAGCCAAGTTATATGCCCCGCGCATGAGCCACACTTGGCCCACCGATGAGGGTGCCACAGATAACCCGGACATTTCCGCTACGACCCATGCCACATGCCACCCACGGCCCTTGGATGCTGATGTACTCGGCCAAAGCTTGCAACACGCGAACCTCGGAGAAAAGCCACACTTGGGGCGGGGATAAATTGCTGACTGTGGTACATTACCAGCCTGTTGCTACTTGCCTTGCTGCAGTGGTCATCGATGGATGGCCAGTGCGGCCGAAACTTCACGGAGCCCACAGGAAACTTCTCCTCCCCCAATTACCCTGACGAATCCCCAAACATTCTTTGCGACTGTTTCATCGACGTGGACCCAGGCAACGGGACCGAACTCACGCTCGTCAATTTCGAACGCCAGCCTTGCCCCCCCGGGAGACCGGTTCAATCCCACGAACGCAACGGCGACCTTCTGCAGAGCGTCAGGGCCCTGCGATTTTCTGACCGACCGCTTCCCGTCGCATTGCATCGGAGACAGATGGCAGCTGCACTTCGGGTGGTTTGGGGGGATAGGGCCCTAAAAAAGAAAAAGCAAACCTGATTTTAACAGCCTTTCAAGGTCAAATTTGACGATGCCAATATTTAAACAATTTGATCGTTGACTCCTTTATTCAATATTAGCAAGAGATATGGAAAAAATGGAAATAAGCAAATGAGTCCTTTCCAAATTGGTCCCAAGAGGCCATGTTATCATTATTGCTGGGGAAATAAAGCAAGGCGTTGCGGGGAATACGGCCACTTCGCAACAAAAAAAAAGTAAATAAAAATAAAAACAAAACCCCATAGTTTTAGGGTATGTATGAAACATACTTGAACACGAGGCATGTCGCGCTTTAATTTGTAAGTCCGCATTCCGGCTGATAATAATCTAATAATAATCTAATAATAATAATAATAATCTAATAACCTGGTAGAGGAGCCAAGTTCAAATCCAGGGGCAAAGAACTTTTTCTTCCAAGTTTTTTTTCCGGTGGACATGCGATGGACGTACGTGAGAAGCATCAGGGCGGGTGTGTGGGAAAAACCCAGGTCCGGGAAAAGCATTATGAAAGTTTTCTCAGTAAAATTGCATAGAAAAAAAAAATTGGTGAGAAGCGTTTCTATTTAAGTTGCAAGGGATACTCACCTCCATCTAAATGTCGTGCCTCGGTGTATTTGGAGCAACTAGCGCGTGTCCAGAGGGAGTTGCATTCGGATGTCCAGCGGATTTGTCTTGCTGATGTCCAGCGGATCTTCGTACGTCACAGCGAATATCCAGTGGAGATGCGATTCCTCGGTCAACGCTTTTCGTGGCGGCCAAGGACGTGACGTCAACTACGACGACGTCGTCGCTTCAGCCTTCCACAAACGAGGAAACAGGACGTCACGGAATTATGGATCGGTTATCAAAGGGATGCGGATGCAGAATCGACATCCAGTGTTGAAAGCTGGTTGACCGGCTTTTCCGGACTGGCAGCCGGACAGGAATTGCGCCTACGCCTTCGCCAATACCTGGGACGATTATCCCAACAATCATGACATGACAGGGATGCAAAGTGGGCTTTCTTTTCAATAAATATTTAGTGCTCATATTTCAGCAAGTAATGCGACATACAGTTATCTTCATAAGTTCAAACTTTTTTTCCCTTCCCCGCTTCCAAATGCGTCTTGGGCATCAATGTCTAATTTCTGGTCCGGTCGACGCAAATCCCAAACGCGTTTCACTCCCGATCGCTACCGATAAAAAAAAAGTTGAAAATTCCTTCCCGTGTCAACACGTGGGAGTCGCTTGTTGGGTGAGAATTAATGAAATTAACTAATTTTTCCTTGAAGAATTCACAGAGCTGCACAAGGGTCTCGGGAAACCCTCTGTCATCGAATTTTTTCTCGATGAATCGTGGAGATTTTATTCCACGCCAATCCTGACCGGAAATTCAAGCAAGACATGGGCTGCGGAGAATTCAATTTTCCGTAAGAAAACCCGAATCGAGGACGATTGGAATTACGGACGCCATTCGTTCGGACGGTTTCAAGCACGAACGGAAACGCCAAGAAAAAGGACTTGGAAGACATCTCGCCCCTTTTGCGGGATCGGCGAGTGGAATGGCAAGCCGCCTGCAGCGTTCCAAGAGATGGGAGGCTGACGAAGTTTGGGAGGCTGGGGATGAGTCGAGTTGGAGGCGGTGGGAG